CCTCTGCGCGGAGATCTGACCGCCCGACTGACGGGCCCGAGGCGGCGGACCGGAAGCGGAACCGGGACCCCAACCCGGCCGAGATGGGGGACTTCAACGTGGCGCTGGTGATCGTGGCGGCGGTGGTCAGCGTGCTGGTGCTGCTCGTCAGCGTCTACCTGCTCGTCAACTACCAGCACCCCGACGACGCCAACCAGGCCTGGTTCCCCAAGCTCGTCGTCGTGCTCGGCATCACCGTCGCCGTCCTCTCCATCCTCATGCTCCCCGCCGACGTCGCCAACCGCCAGGCCTGCAAGCGCGCCGTCTACAGCGGCGCCTGCGCCCTCACCCTCCCCATGAAGACGCTCTGGCTCGTCGTCTACATCATCGACGCCGTCCTCGTCTTCCTCGTCATCCCATTCGCCATGTTCTACTACGAGGGCGACCAGGACAAGTCGGTTTCGATTCTTCCTTCCTTCCGCGCTCGGCTTGCTTCGCTGACTGACTAGATCCGTTCTCTTCTGCTCCTGCGTCCAGGTCCGTCGGGAAGAGGCTCAAGAGCGCCCTCATCTGGGTCGTCGCCTCCGCCGTCGTCTGCGGCCTCATCCTCGGCATCCTATACGGTGCGTATGCGTGCGGATCCCTTGCCTTTTGCGACGCTCTGCTATGCTCGCCCCTAATCTGCTTTGGGATAATCTGAACTGATTTGGGCTTGAAATGTGAATCTCGAGGTGTTGCTCTGCATTTCAATTCTAATTTGGATTGGAGGGGCCTCGAGCTTCAAAGCTTTCACGTTTTTCATCCATGAGCAGCCAATGCTGTACAGCCAGATCTGAAACCCGGTTTACAGTTACTTTTTGCTGGGTTCATCCTACCTGTGTTTGTCTAGTGCCCATTGGACCTCCGAATTGTGTTTTTTCACAGCTTGTCTTGTTGTACTAGGCAGTAGGCTCTACATTTTGACTGTTGAGCATTCACCGTATGGAACATAGAGAACAACACATCATTTTGTCCATGTCATTTTCGCAATGGTGGGCAGCATCCATCTTTCTGCCTCACATCACGTAAAAATTACTCCATGTTGCTACTGACTGCATTTGTGGTTCATCCTTCCTGTCTGTATCTATACTTTACCCATTTAGACCTCCTTTGGTTTAGAGGAATTTCATAGGAATTCTAGAGGATAGGATTCTTATAGGATTTTTTCCTTTAGAGCCCTTTGGTTCATAGGAATGGATTCCTATTCCTACATAGGATTGGTTCCTATCCTCCACATTTCATAGGAAAATAAAAAAGAGCCTAGACTCAATGGAAAAGTTCCTTTGGTGTCAACCAAATGACATCTTGTTTCCTATTCCTACTCATAGGATTCGAGATACATGTCATCTCATTTCCTACAAGATTCCTATTCCTATGATAATCCTATCCTATGAACCAAAAGAGGTAGGCTCTTGAATTTTCTACTGCGCCCACTTGTTTTCTTGTCCTAGGTTGCAGCTTATACATTTGGACTCGTTAGTTTCAACCACCTAGGAAACGTAGAAAACAACATTTCATTTTGTCCTGCTCATTTGACGCATCTCCATGTTTCTTGGTCACATCACATAGACCCTTCATGCTTGTACCTGCATGGGATGAATTGTACCTCCATTGATGTGAACTGCTTACAATGCGTGATGTTTCACTTTATACCTCTCGTGACGTTAACTTCTTACTAATCTGTGATGTCTTGACTTTACCTGACTGCACTTCCACTTTGTTCCTTCAGCACTTATTGGTAAAGTGGACTTCACTGTCAGGCACCTCTCTTCATCTGTCCAGGCATTTCCAAATCCAAACCAGTTCAGTGCATTCACAAGTGGCCAACCTTGCATCGCTCCATTGACCCGTCAGGTTAACCCGCTGATGGAATTATGCTTTCTTGCGTTTCACTTCATGTAGCTCATCATTTCATATTTTTCATCTGGCGGCTGACTTGTTTTATGTTTTCTTTTCTTCAGTGTTCAGCTAATACTGCACCTGCTAACTCCCAAACAACCTGGACAATGCGCGCTACATTCCCCGAATACGTGGTTGCCCTTGCTACCATTGTTGGATCTGTGCTCTTCACAGTGAGTTTTACTTCAATGTTTACAATTAGGTTGATCACTGTTTTTTGTAGAGCTAGCATCTGATAGTTTAGTTTGTACTTTTGTTTGTTTCTTGGACAAAGCTGTATCAGAAACAATTTTAACCATGTATTTTTTTTCCAATTGTTTAACTGCTGCATGCAATCGTGCTGGCCTCTTTCTGTACAGTTCTGGCTTGGCATATGTTAACAACTCTGTTTATTTTATAGATATTTGGTGGTGTTGGCATTGCTTGCCTTCCATTGAGTCTTATATTCTCGTTTGTCCGGCGTCCAAAAGCTGTCATCACCCGCTCACAATATATAAAGGTGTGTATAGTTTCATATGCTTTATTTTTGTTATGGAGACTGTTTGCCTCAACTGATTACAGCGAAAGTTTCTGTTTCATGTAATTATTGGGTGATTTAGATATCGATCTGACCTTGAGGTTGAAAATGTTTCCTTCAGGAAGCTACTGAATTAGGTAAGAAGGCCAAGGAATTGAAGAAGGCAGCAGAAGCCCTTCACCAAGAAGAGAGAAGTGGGAACAAAGGCAGAAAATGGCGCAAAAACGTGAAGGCTGTCGAGAAGGTATGCTTGCCCTTCAAACGGATGATATGCTTTGAAGCTTTAGTTGCATTCATACAAACCATTCTCTTTAATATATTGTACATCTTTCTGTGATGTTCTGTTATGCTATTAACTAATATCATGTTTAACTTTCCATCTTAATCATTAGGAGTTGTTACTTTTGGAAAATGACATGAATGCTCTAGAAGAGATGTACCCTCAAGGAGAGAAGGTAACTACTCTAGATTCTTATATTCATTGTTTTTTATGGTTGTCACTTACTCTTGTCTTGACATCCATTATGGTGCAGGCAGAGGCCACCTGGGCTTTTACAGTGCTTGCTTACATTGGGAAACTCATATTCGGCATTGTTGGGTAAGTGTAAATATATATCTGAACTGTACATTCATTCAGTCTAACGTATTTGCAATTGGGTTCGTCTGACAATGATTTATGATCTCAGGTTAATTGTATCGATTGCTTGGGTTGCACATATTATCATATACTTGTTGGTTGATCCTCCTCTATCTTCTTTCCTGAATGAGATCTTCATAAAGCTGGACAGTGTTTGGGGTGCGTTTCTGATCCTTGATATTGTTCTCAACTTATCCAGTTATCCTCTGTGAATAAACTGATTAATCTTTTGTTTGTGTAAACTGATTAATCTTTTGTTTTGTGTACCAGGTCTGCTTGGGACTGCTGCTTTTGCATTCTTCTGCTTCTATCTCCTCATCGCAGTGATTGCTGGAGAAATGATGCTTGGCCTGAAATTAGTTTTCATCACAATTCACCCAATGAAGTAGTTGACTTGTGCCATGACACTATTTTCTTTCTGGTGTCTTTTTTTTACATTTACTAACAAACATTCAACTCGTTTCAGATGCACTGGGTCTGTCCTTTTTTTACTAACAAACATTCAACTCGTTTCAGATGGGGAGGAACGTTGATGAACTCTTTCCTGTTTAATGTTGGACTGATCCTACTTTGTTCCATCAGGTATGCTGCCGATGTCTTCTGTTAGAAGTCCATGTCTTCCTCTAACTTCCAATGAAATGTTTGAAGGCTGTAACTTTACAAGAACTAAAGAATGTAGTGGAGATACGTGGCAGATCTAAAGAAGTTGTTTCCACAAAGCATTAGGACAGTAGTGTTTGTTATTAGTCAGTAATAATGAATACTTGGAAGTGCACACCCCTGAAGCATTGATTTAGCATGGGTATATAACTTGGGCCTGGGTCCAAATCTTCTGCTATTGCTGTACCACAGTTACGGTCACTGCTGTGTTGTGGGTGAATAATGGCCTCTGTATGAATGCAAACCACTTGTTCTTTAAGAAGCCCTCTCTTGAATATCCTCTGCCTGTGTATTTTCTATTTTGCAGTGTGATTCAGTTCTGCGCGACAGCTTTTGCATACTACGCACAAGCAACTGCAGCTCAGGAGATCTTTGGCCACACGCTGCAGTCTCTTCGTGGAATTAAGTATCTCTACAAGTAAGTCTTGAACCAGCATGCAGTCAGTAGAACTATCAACCTGCAGTTGTTGTTGCTTGAATAGTTGAATCTATATTGCTGTAGACACCAGAATCTCAGAGTTTTGTATTCATACTACTATTGAACATCTTGAATATGCAGGTACAATGTTTTCCAGTATGGTTTTGTTGCCCTTGCCATACTCACCCTCTTCTACTATGCACTTTTTGTAAGTCATTTTTTGAATTACTCAGCTAATTCTCACCAAATTCTGTAAAAGTTGAGCTTATTTTAATCATCATAATCTTTGTCCAGGGATGGCGAAAGAGGAAACCGACAGGAAGGTTCCAGCTCTCAAATTAATTTTTGGTTTGCTCTGTAAGCAAAGCCTGACAAATTCAACATCACATTTGTTCCTGAGTGATAGTTTGGTTAGCGATGTATATGATCTTCAAACCGCTTTCTGGAAGAGTTGGGGAGTTTTCATGGGTGTAAATTAGTGGCAACGAAAATCTTGGAAGATGGAAACACCCACGGACACGGATGTTAAAGTAGAAGAACCTAGTTTCCTTTGTAATGTACACATCCCTCGTCTTGGTTCTTTTCTGTATTATTGTTTTATGATCATCAATCGGCTTATGTCATTATTGAAGTTCTGTGTGCCCCTTCGGTGTTCCTTTGCTGTTATGAGTTAAATTAGTCCAGTTCTTTTCTTTTGTATGTACCATTCCGTGATTACCGTGCAAACTTGTAGATTGTATAAGGATGGCTTGTCTTGATCGGTTATTCTCGTTTTTCTGCCTTTCTGGAAAATTGGGGAGTTTTCTATCTTTGCTTTTCATTTGAAACTTTGCATCATGCTGTTTGTGTGTCTGATGACTAAACACTACTTCCTCTGTAAACTTTTGTAGGATCTTTTATATCACTGCTACTACTAACTTGATTTCTGTCTTGACAAGTGCTGATACGGCAACACAACATGCAGAATAAAGATTAGGATAAGCCTGCAAAGGCCTTTGGGCAGGCTTTGGTACATGGGATAATCACAAGCGCATTTAGGAACCGTTATTAAACAGAATTATTGATTCATAATAATCTGTAAAAGCAAAAAAGCACATGTGAAATACGAGTGAGCTAGTACCCCCTCCGTAAAGAAATATAAGAGCGTTGTGTTTAGATCATTACTTAGTGATCTAAACACTCTTATATTTCTTTACAGAGGGAGTACTTGATTAAATAGTGCGTCCAGAGCACAAAAGTTATGTCTTCATCCTAACTACTTTGAGCAAGAAAATAAAATAAAAAACTATGGCTTCATTCATGCAACACACTTTGAGCACCAATAACTATTCACATCTCTTTGCCAGTTTCTTCTAAAATCTCACGTCACTAGCAACAGAGATATAAGATGTCTGTCTAATCCATTGCTCCGTAACCTGAGGACCAACCAAAGGAACACAAAACTCAAAAGGTGTAAATGGTCTAAAGTATATATATAGAGGCAGAGCTAATAGTATATAGTCAAAACTTCAGTCAGTGTAGCAGCTCATGAGGTGTGATGCTGCTGAATGGTGTCTAGCTCATAGCATGACCATAATGGGAAAAATGCATGAAGGAATTCATCATACATTATTGATGCGGGCATTAAGCTCAAATGGATTGCGATCCGGTTTTCCCAAGTGAAAGTATGCAAATAAACTCCCTAAATCAGTAGAGGTACTACTTAGACTATCTGAATGTGAAGAAAAATCACTTCCCTCAGTTCAAAAGTATGGAAAAACATTTGTAATGTATATAACGAAAAAATTGATTCCTCGTATCTACCATACTGTGATCAGAATATAAACTTCTCATATGTTTTATATTGTCTTGATCATCTATGTTTGCATGCGTTCCTAGAACCACACTTTGCCTCTAAACTACAAACTATGATTATATGCTGATCATGCATCAGACCTGCAAAGTTAACAGAGATGCTCTTTAGATACTACTAGTGTCAGAACCATACAAGACACTGCCACGAACTGAAGCACGTTGCCTCCTCCTGAATCTTTACCACAGGTTAGTGATTCCAGATGGACTTATTACGGACAAATAACACTCCCAGATGAACTCACAGCCTAAAAAACAACCAAAACAACTTAACGTCTAAAGACCGGGTGTTTGCATTCATGGATGGTGACATTCATAATATAAATATTGTGTGGATGTATAACATCCTTTCTATATTCTCACTTGGAGGGAGAACTATCGTATTGCCATGCTCTTCAATTACTTGGAAAAGAAAATGATGAATTACATACTTGTCTCCACTCTACACAATTGGATTCATCTTTTCCTGATGGGCATACTGAGCGCTTATCGTTAATCAATGGGACACGCTTTACAACTTGACTCGAACAAACTGAGCACTTCTTCATGGGATAAAATCAATCCATTTTGCCGGGCTTACACTGTTCTTAATGAGATAGAAAGCCTGTCAGAGAATGAGTTCCATGGATGTTGGATCTACAGAAACACACTAATTCCAGTCAAATGTTCATGGTTTCTTAGCGGACACACACCCACCGGAGGAGCTACGCATGGGCAAAACCGTGCCGTGGCCCGCCCCGTCCAAAGGTGAAAAAGGAAACTACGCATATGCCTAGTCCAGTTCGTGATGTGTCAGTAGCCTGAATGTGCACGGGAGACCTGTCTTTATGCCGGAGAATATGCACGTGAGACTTGCTGTTCAAAGCCTGTCACTAGTAGAAAAAGACCCATTTATTCCGATTCATAAGGCCCATTTGTTCCGGTTCGGGAACTGGGACTAAAGGGTCGGTACTAAAGCCCAATATCTTTAGTCCCAGTTCTTATATGAACCGGGACAGATGGGGCTCCACGTGGCCGCTGTGGCTTGCCCAGGCAGGGGGGCCTTTTGTCCCGGTTGATAGCACCAACCGGGACCAAAAGGCATCCACG